CCCAGCACCGAAAATTTGTCGCGTAAGAAAGGCAAAAGACGTGCCTGCTTACGTTTTTAGTCAGGTCACTGTGCACAGTCTCTCTCTTGACCGAGTATTTTTTTTCTTTTACTTGAGTTTTGTTATGCTTTGTTTTCGAAGAGCGAAGTCATTCTGTCTGCTTTGCTAAACAAGCAATTTTTTAACTGTAAAATGAACGATATCTGTTTATTAGGCTATATCCTGTTACAATTTTCAAAAAAACTGCGCTGAAAACTTCAACTTTTACGTGTCATCTATTATGATCCTATTATTATAGCAGCTCACTTGAGTTTTTCCCTACTGTATGGAACCTATTTAGGGAACCTAAACAAATGGTAACAGGGAAAGATCAGGGAAAAGCAGCTTTCTTTAGAGCATCCGAGCTAAGGAATGAATGGAGAACCATGATCGCCGATGTCTGTCGCAGATCTGGGACTGAGTGATGATGGAACGGGGTCAAGGCTACTTTGGTCAGCGTCCTGAGAGAGACATGTTTTGTCCCGTTTTGGAGGGACTGATGTCGTCCTTGTGACAAGTCTGGAAAAACCACGGGGGTGGGGGTGAGGGGGCAAATCTCAGAGAAACAGTACATATCCTTGATTTCCTCACGCCGACTCTGGGAGGCCGATGGGGCGTTCCTGGCGATGGAGCATTATACGGGGTTCCCACTACGGATGGGATCGGCGATCGTCCGACTCGGTCGCCTCAAAAACAAATGTGAGGCAGCGTGGTGGAATCAGGCTCTCGTCAATTTTTGGGCATGTAGAGTTATTGTTATCATCTTAAAGCTTAGTTAATATTTGGTGAAAAAGTATCCGTTTATCTTGAATACAAGTCGATATATTTGCGAAAGAAGGAGGTGGGGGTCACTATTTCCAGAGGTAAAATTAGAGAGAAAATTGCCGTCAAAGATTAATTATTTCCTTAACTTAAGAGTCCGTGTTAATCAACGCTTTTCAGAAAAATCTACACAGAAATTAGTTCTTTAAAGGGGAATGAAAGGTGTTGAGCTAAAAAATAAAAATTTGATACAAATTCACAAACCTGCGGATTATTTTGACGAGAGCCTGATTCCACCACGCTGCCTCACAAACGTGTTTGTTTTCAGTTTCAGGCGATCGAGACGGGCGATCGGCCCGATCCAGCCGTAGTGGGCACCCCATATTAGTTGTCACAGTTGACCTTGACTGAGAATATAAAATTATGGATACTTTACTCATGATTCGTCATGAAAGAAAACTAAACAAACAAACAAACTAACTAACTGACAAACAAACAAGCAAAAAAACCACAACAAACAACCCCCCAAAAATTGAAGGGCACAATGGAAAAACGACAGAGATGTCCGCTTTTACTTCACTTGAGTTGTGACGTAGGTTGGAAAGTCTTCGCACAAATCACACTTTCCTCATGGCCCGTCTGTGTATCCACTGCAACAACCTGGTCAGTCGCCCAATGTCTGGCGAAGGCAATACGCTGTTCTATCTAATACCTTGGGGG